CAAGATTTCTTTACGGGAAGGCTTCCTCACGAACACCATGGAAGCAGATCGCAAAGTTGAAACAGAACGGCCTAGTAAGTATTTCGTCCCAAAGCCAGCTATTGACTAACAGAATACAGATTGCTCTGTCTGCGCCGTTGCTGAATACAACTTTTATTCCGAAGTATTTGGAATCCCTTGTCCTCAATGCGGCGAGTGCTTGACTTTGGCGTTTTACAAGGTGGGAGGCTGACCTACACCTGAATCTTGGAAACCTGCTTTCTCACTTCATGATAGAGTCACTTAATAGTCTGTCACCAGGATGAATTCTTTGTTGCTCATATCTGCAGTGAATGTGAGAACAAAATATGGGAGTGTACACAGTATGCCTCCTTTGGGTCAGAAGCTTGGGGACAGAATGAGAATTATGCCGACTATACCGAATCCACCCTCAAACACCGTGACACTGTAGAGAGTGTCTTGACTGAGTCTAACGCCTACGAAGCGATAGCGGATCCTTCTCAGTCATAGAGGAAAGCCCCAAGGCCAGTCTTCCACACAACAAAGTCCGATGACCTCTTTCTGCGGCTTCGTGAGGAATTCCAATCGTGGACAACTATCCACAGTTACTTCCCTAGTTGCAAATTGAAGACATTGAGATCCAATTGTTCGAAAGCAAGGTCGTCTAGATCTTCCTTCAACTCCGACAAGGATAGCATGCTCATTCAACTAAGAGTCCAAGGGATGTCCGGGGACAAGATTGCTGCAAAGATGAAAATGAACAGGACTATATTATCAAAACGTCACCGCTACTTATTAGACAAGAAAGATAAGGTCCTGTCGAAACCAGATGCAAAATCTATTTGCCACAAGCGCGAGGACGGCCAACAAATGGTTCTATGAGACTAGATTTCCGCCATGGCCAGCTCGGGTGTGACTTCACCGAGAAGAAGGCACACATTTGGTTCCTGTATGTTGCAATAATTGGTTGACAGGATATTCCTATAGCAGACAAAATAAATCAAAGTATGTTACCTCGAGCATCATTCACGTCGTGGTATTCCTCTACTTTGTCAAAAAGGGGTGCTGGTACTTGCAAAAGCTCTGCGTTCTGCGATGTAGGCAGCCATCTTTGCGAGGCATTCTTCTAGGAGTTTCTGAGAGTTATTCAGCTGCCTAATGATTTCTTCTGCACTCCACTCGATATCGGGGCACGTCAGACTGTGTCGTCCCGTCCCTTCCATTTGCGGCGCCTCTGACTTCGTGGGTGGCGATGAGCATCTTGACGTCGTATGGCTCGTTGAGCATTCGTCGGATGTAAGGTTTGACAAGGCCTCGCTTGGTCTACCCTGAGTGAGCTCCGTGGACAGTCGCGAATATGCTGTAATATCTCGATAGCCTTGTTTTGTTCTGTTCTCGTGCTTGCAAATTTTCCACTCGACGAATTTCTTGTGGTAAGATCGTGGTCTATCATATTGTATCAGAATGTGATAGCGCTGAGTTGCCGTTGAATAAAATGGGTTGTTTCTTACACAGCATGGAAGTTGTATCTCTCTTTCATGTATCTGACAGTGTCTAAAAGATTATGACGAGCGTAATACTCCAATATGATGTCTTTATGTTCATCCCAGGATTTAGCCATTTTCTCGGGGGAGGTGACTGGGGCGCTTCGGGAAGTCTCGAAGGATGTTGAGGACTCGATCGGATGATTGCGGTTCCAGGTTGAGGCACACCGGCCATTGATAACTGACACCAGCCGGTTCTGAACGACTTGACGGAAGGCAACATGCCGCAAGAAATACAATTTCGAAGCTAGTGGAAGTAGTACGATGTGACTTAGGTTCGCTATCTTAAAATCCTTCAACAGGAAGGGGGATGCCGGAATATGATGTTAATACAAGCTGTGGGCTGGAGGGCGGGATGAAGAGCAAGCTATCCACCATATACAATGATTAGTCCCGAACTTGGAAAATGGAAGTCACCGAGCTGACAGCTGGAGGATCGACAGACCGGCTTTTTGATTAAGCACTGTCTTATAACGACATGGCGGTGTATATAACAACTATATCCCCGGGCATCATGTAACTGCATGGGGAAGAACTAACACGCGAGGTGTGTTCCGGTCCCATGGGTTGAACCTGTAGCTAGGGAAGATGCGAAGGTGCCTTCTGTTGGTCACACTGCTTGACATAAATGCATCACAGGTTGCTAGCCTGCTCCATACCTGACAAGCCCAAGGTCTTATACTGAACCTTGCCTTACGCCACACACTCCTCGACTAGTTCCGTCCGGCTATTAGGGATAAAAGAGACGAAAGCCGTTTCCCTGCCTCTTATATTCTGGCAGGCGTCGATTAAGATAAATAGACTGCACCTGCAACTTACATATCTTAATGTCAAGCAACGAATATAGTCACCAGAGACAGAGAGGATGAAGAATAATCCACAGTTACAAACGGACAGCCGCGCAGCTAGCAACGATAAAGAACTACAAGAGCAGGATTTATATTTGCCTTTAGAAAATAGTGAGTATTGGTCGTCCTTAACAGGCGCAATCATAGTCTCTCATGTCTCATGAACACACACTTGCTACAAATAGAGCAAAGCTATTGTGTTAAAACAGACAAACAGAAAGCTTCAGTCGGTGCTAATATTTGTGCTTTTGCTTTAGTCGGTAGAATTATGAAGAAGGCCCTACCGGACAATGCGAAACTTTCCAACGAGGCCAAGGTGTGTGTCCAGAGATGCACTAGCGAATTCATTTCATTCATTACTTCTGAGGGTGAGTCGATTGGGAACCTGCTCGCGAGCTGGTAGTGATTACCATACCAGCTAAATGATACCATTTATTCTTGATGGCAAGCTTACTAAACGACTCTTGGCGACCAGCTTGCGAAAAGGCCTCGGCCCAGAAACGAAATACTGTGAAAGGAGAAGATATTCTGTCTGCAATGAAGTCACTCAGTTTCGATCATTACGCGGAGACTTTAGAAATCTATCATTCTGGGTACCTAAACAGAACTTCCGGTGGCCATATAATGCCAAGTGAGGCCGGCAACGGAGGCGCGCTTGGGCAAGAGCTTGCCTGTGGTGAAGGCAGCGTCGAGCCCAAATACCTGTCTAGACAACATGCCGACGATGATTCTATCACTGATTTTTCCCACCCAGAATAATCCATGCTACAACATAATGGTGGGAAAGATGGACTCAGATCTTGTGAGACTGAGCAATTCATCACCCGCAGGCGTTGCAACTGCTTTCGTTTGCTTCAACATGAACATTTTGAGATGCAGTCGGTGGATTAATATTCAGAGTCGGACCAAGTTTTAGATGCTATGATAAAGGGACCCATTTTGATTTGAGACTAGGTGGCCCAATCGAAGAGATAGATGCATTCAATCGCTTCGAAATCTTTGGCAACCTCGAATGTAACACATGATCTTGTGGGAGTTGAATTATGATGCTATCTGATGGTCTCACATCTTCAAACACTACATCTTCAATCCCTTACTGGCGGGACTGCGATTGTCAGTAATAACCTTATGCGTTACCTGTCAGTCCGGCCACCAGAGTGCCGGTTCCTGCTAAGAAAGTCATGCACTTCCCAGCTAGCACTTACAGGTGATGTGTGTTCAGGACAAAGCCCAAGTTTCGTTTTCAAGATACGAATTCCCACGGCCAGTTACCTGTGATTAAGGTCCTCTTTCTGGAACTAACTACCAAGGACTTTGCGAGATCGGGCAAGGGTATCTAGAAGGTATGGTCCCCCACAGTCACTGGTAATATCCCTTCCGTTTGGCATTAGGAGCGATTGGTGCAGGGATCGTACCCTTCATATCCCAGCTTATCCCAGAACATGAAGATTTGAACAAGGCTGTTTCGTCTTAGTCCGTGCTAGCTCACTTCTAAATACAGAGACTTGCATAGTTTAGTCTACGGTCTGTCTGTTTAGTGTGACGTCATTGGTAGGTAATTTGAGAGCCCAGTGTAACAGGCTGAGCCTGATGTGGCTCGGCTTGCACTCTCGCCGGGACCCATCCGTAAGCGAGATTAACCACGTGTCGATCTCAGAAGCTCAAGAGCTCCTCGAGCTCTCCTTTTCTTGTCCTGTTTTCTCTTTCTCTTTAACGTTTAGATACTCGTAGTAGTTGCCTAGCTAGTTGTCACTATACTCTGTCGGATAAGGCTGCCTCTGTTAGTTGAACATGCAGACTTGACGTAATTGCTGGATGTCATAAAATCATTGATATCAGTAGTTTGAGTGGCTGGAAAGTCTTCTAAACTAAAGATAAAAGACATGAAGCCTTCTGAAGGATAGACACAACAACAACAATTTTTATATTCAATAAAATAAGCTTAATTAACAATGAGTCTCATAACGTGATATACTCAGCTTGGACCGTTACACCCAGAAGTACTGCACTCTCGTATCGCCCTTTTCTTCCGCAAAGGACATTAATTTTCTACGCGCCCAGTGTCAGGCAGTGAACGTTGATGCATCTAGCCCCGGCAGACTATTTCCTTTGTTAACTGAAGATCCTTCGGCTGCTGGCTGAAAAATATGCATCTCAATTCGACACATGCATACCATGCCTAGGATCTGGGGCTTACATTGTTGGTACGGTGCAATTCTAGAGTAGTTTAGTCAAAATTCAATAGTTCGAGATGGGTCCGGCCCTTTTCCCATATAGTTCATTCTGGAACAGCGCAATCCAATTATTGACGTGCATTTGATATCAGTTCAGAGAACAAGGCATCAAATGGTGAAATTGCGACTTAAAAACCGAAACGCAGCTTCTCAAATAGAACCCGGTCAAAAATGCTTGCATGGACAGAAAGCATGCCTACATGAGCCGTGAATTTCACAGAACAAAATTCTGCATGTAGATTAACAACTCATTTTTCAGGAGTTGCTTGCCTGACGTCTATATAAAGCTGGACAATTTCCATAACCTTTGGAAACGCAGCGCTTTTATGCCTCCAAAGCAAATACCAATTTCTCAACAAACTCTCTATTCCACGATGAGCTTTATTAGTACTTTTGATTCGGATCGTACCCTTTCCCAACTCTATCACGATGCAAAAAGGCTTCCTGAATATGCATCGACAACATTGTTTGGACATTGGCTTCGAGTATATATTTTCACAGAGAAAGATTGGGTCATTTCCACTGAAAGGCCTACAAGGGAGCATCATGATCGTACGCGTCTGGATATCGTCGTGCAAACCTTGCTTCTTGATCCAACATATGCGACGATCAAATCCAAGTTTCTTCGTAATACCTGGATATTCTGGCTCACAGCAGAGGGGAAAAAACAAAAATCCGGACGTGAGGATCTGCGGTACGCCGAAGAACAGGCATATACTAAGACTTGGAACTACTTGCATGAAAACAAGGATGCTGTACGATCCTGCTGGGTGATGACCTACTTTGGCACTCAAGCACGCTTGTGGGCATGTCAGTATAAGGGTTCTGGCGCACTCGAAGCTTTCCTTCCCTTGGAGGGGGAAAATGGTGAAAAGTCTTCCTACCTCGACATAAAAGAGAACGAACATTATTTTAATATCGGCTGGGCCTACATCAAGGAAAATCTTGTACCAGAGCCTAATGAGTTCGAGGAGTTTTGGAGGCTTACAACCAGTCCCGCAGGACCTTCTGCTGAAGCTGCCCCTGACCCATCCCCGACGGATGACAGGCCTAGCGTAATCTATCCCGCGTATTATACCTTCGTTGTAGTCGTCAAGCTAATCAAGACGGCGGAGACGGCGGAGGGGCTTCGTACGCAAGTCAGGCATTCCGACAAGAGGGAACAGCATTTTCCGCGACAGTTATGGCGAAGTGTCAAAGTTATGTGTGACAACAACGTTCATGCAGATGGTTTTGTTGCGGATGACCTAGGTTATTGGACGTGGACCCTTGAGCCTGAGCTGGAGGATGAGGACCCAGAGCATATAGGTACAGACAAGACCAAGGGGAAGGGGAAAGGGAAGGCCAAGGAGAAGCATCATCATAAGGCTCGGAAGTGATTTCATCGTCCATACAAGATTTATTCTTATAGAACGTCGCCGCGGCTTGTTTTCGTATATCTCATCCTCATTTCATCCTGATTAAACCAACAATATAGAACGCCAGTCATCTCACAACACGTCCAATCTGCTAGCCCGTCAATGTGATCGTGGTCTTTAAGGCATTCTACTTTGACGCCTTCTAACTTCCCGACGCCACTTTGGTCAAAGATGGTGTTAGCAAAACAGAGACGTACTGGCCATTCGTATTCTGTGAATGGATCAACGCCTAGTCTACATTGTCCGAGCGCTAGCTTCCCGCCACCCCTGTACTGTATAGTAATACCTCTGCAAAAGTTCGTCCTAGGAATGCAATAGACTCGAATTTGAGAGACATTTGAGAGGGGTGCTGACGAGATGTATGGATCCTCTATTGGCGGTAGGCTAGGATCAAAACGCTTCGGGGCGGCTGCAGTGTCGCAAATTGTGTATTTTTCGGAAAAGGCGCTGACGAAGCATATCGGAAGAGTATCTTTCTTTCTATATATAAGCGTTTGAGGCCACTTGAGCGACATAAACTGTCGAGACTTTAGTGTATACGGTCCGATGAGAACGTCTCCTACAGACTCAAAACGAAACTGCATTTTATTAGATATTATAATAACTCATATAATTGTGTCTTTTATCTTACCAATAAATGTTGTGGTTGAGAAACTCTTCCAAGCCGATTTGGAAGCACACTAAAGCTAATTTCTGTGATCTGTCCTTCGATAGGCATATAAATCCAAGTTACCGTCTCCCGCCTTTCAGGCGTAAGATTCTTAAAAGTCCTGTCGGCATATAACTGGGTCTTTGTATGAGTATGGACAGCATATGTGGAGCCGTGTGCAACAAAAAATGTAATTCCGGTACAGAGAGACAACTCTACGGTGCCCAAATGGCAAGCCAGAGAGCGGTTGGTTTGGTCCGGTTGTCCAACAATGCCTCGACCCAGAGGCGGCGGGAAAGGAGTGTCCCAAATATGAAAAGGCCTAGTCACTCCCCGTAGTCTGGCCATACCAAACTAAGAGCTGTTAGTGATGTGTCCTGGAGCTTTGGGCGTAGACAAACCTACTTGGAAGTCCACGGACACACCATTGAACCGTTCAGCCGCTTCAACAATGTAGCCCATGCAGTCGGACCGAGAGGATATCTTTCGATCCAACTGTGTTAGTCTCTCAATGCACAGGAGACCTCGCGAGTCAATTGCCAAACGAACAATTGAGCCACTTGCACTGCCTTCGAGTTGCGGTGCATTGCCACGAACCCAAGTCTTGACGTTAAGGAGCGGAATTATTCGGTCCTGGAGTTGGTTGTTCTCCTGCATCGCTGTCACATGACGAGCTAGATCCAAAACGCTGCAGTACCAAGTATCATTGCAAAAGTCCCAGATCATCTTCAAGATCTCCGGAGGCAGCCTCGTTAGCCCTCCGAGCAGCCAGTCGACGCTGAAACTACCCAATTCTCCGACAATGCACCGGACATCAGAGTAATGGATGTCGAAGTAGGGCTGAACGTTCAGAGACGACGCACCTTGCCAAAGACTCCTTCGTGTTGCTGCCACCCACAGTAGGCAGTGCTTAGTTTTAATGTTAGCGTCAGTGTCACAGTCGTCAAGCCCGGTGACACTGACTCGACACAAGAACAACTCCATGCAGTGCGTATGTATTGTGCAAGTCTCAACAGACCGACAGCACTGACTACAATCGGGCATGCGGCATAGCCTCTCGTCAGCACAATAGCGAGATCTCGGAAAGACAGACTCCCCATGAATAGTGATGCTAACTTGCCAGTCATCACCTTGGCTGGCAACTAAAAATCGAAAACATCAGCAATTCATTTGTCGGTATCGGGAACTCCGGCGCATACATGTGTAAAATCGGTCCCCAGCACAAAATAAGAAGCCGCAAGCGCCACAGCGAGAGTGTACGCGAAGGTGCGTGATTTCGGCCATTTCACGTCGACCGTTGCTGCATTTTAAGTAACTCCGTTCCCAGTCTTATCCAGTCTTAGGTGACGGGAAGCACTGGCGATAAATACGCTGCGTCCCGCCCAACCACCTTCACCGCCTTGCCTCTTTTCGCCCAGGTAGAATTTTACCCTGGCGATCACAGTAATTTAGCCTCTCACAGCAGTGTCAATTTCTGAGTTGGTCGCAGGTCATCATGTCATCAATCTAGTCACATGGACATTTCTAGAGTTACTGGCACTGCATTAGAGCATACTTCTTAACTGCATTTTATTTGACAACTATACAGTCCTCGACGTCTTCCTATCCATCAAGCGAATATGATTCCTTCTGCTCTGCCATGTCTTTCTCTATGCTTCTCCAAACGTGTTTTACACTCCTCATTTTCCGTGCTGCATGATCGTCACGTATTTCCGCAGCCTTCTTGAAAGCGATGACGGACTTTCAGAACAGCCTTATCGCGTCGGGCCGGCTTGTGGAGAGCCAGCGACTTGCCCCAGAATGAAGACGAGCTGGGATAACGGGGGGTTTTGGGTTATTTATGGTGCACGGAAGAATCTCGCATTTGACGCCATCTTTTGGCGGGAGCTAGATTCACGATTCTTTGAGCAGTCTGGGGTGTCCCAGGAAGATGCATGGATGAAGTGGTTGGATATGGTGGGTGAACCAGAGATGGCGGGGATGAAGGCATGGAGACGAGGGTCTTGCCGTGGGTTGTAGATGAGTAGTTGTAATCATGTCGGAGCTAGCAAAGTGCTTTTATGCAGTCTGTAGGATGTCGCACAACATGGTCAGTTGGACGGCATCTGCTAGGTCGTATTGTATGACAGGGATGCCCATGGCGAATTTGACGAGGAGATTCTTGCAGAGATGGTAGGCTTTGTACAGACAAATAGAAAAGTGCTGGAGGCTTACAAAAAGGCGTGTAACTACCGTTTTTCCCAAGCCAGCGATTGAATAAACTTCTGTTTGGCCGTCGTTCATCGTCAGTCTGCGCACGACACAACCAAATTACGTATGCTACGGGTCCCCGCTAGGTCTGGCGCCTGTTCTTCAGGAGGTATGAACTGGAGAGCCTGCTCTAAACCTCATCCTGTACCGGCAGCCCTCATGTCCGTATTTAGCAGCAGTGCCTGGATTGAAAGTAACCCTAGTTCATGATTCTGCCAACCAACTTTTTCAAGCTGTGGTCTGTAAGGCAATACTCCCCAAACGGGAGCTTATGAGACGTGTCGAAAATGCTCCGAACCCCCATTTATTAGAAAGGGACATCTGAGCCAATAATTTCTTGAAGAGAGATGTGTGCAGGTGGATGTACGTACTGGATACGGAAGAGAGGGGTGGGAGATTGCATTCCAAGTGTCAAAGCGTCAAATTATACCTGTCGCTGGAGGAGCATCGGCTATGCAGGAGCTTCAATATTTTGGCTTGTGCGTCCTCCTTCCAGACTTTGGCAAACTCTGCCCCATCTACAGGCTTAAACTCGGAGTCTCGGTTTTCGGGATCTAAGATGACCTGTTTTTGTGTGTATGAATGTGTGTGTTCATACATGCGGCTCCCCACCAACCAGTAATCACATTTAAACGCCCTGGCAATTGTGATCCATCAACAATGACTCCTCGATTGGCTGGCGCCGTTCCGGTCGAGAAATCACAACCAACAGCCCCATACATCGTGCAGTCGTGGTCGCGTTTCATCTGTACAATCATACAGCCCACCCAAAGCTTATGGTATGATGGGAACCACTACGCAAGCGCCTATTCCCTTGTACGAATATGAGACGCGAATCCTGTTGCCTTTTCCAATGAACCTAAAAAAAGCCAAAATCTGATATAAATATAGCCCAGTTGAGGGATTATAGAACGACGCCGGTAGGAGTGGCTTTTTCCAAGCTTAGTTACACTACTCCAACACGTTCACCTCATTTGAAGTGCGTCTTTAACTGCCTCGGCGCTGTGTCACGGTATGTCCAACTCCAATCCCACTATCACACCACAATCACTGGTCTATGTCATTATGGCTGGTCGCGGTTCGGCTTCTTGTTCGCCTCGACGCAAAGATCCAGCCTTATGATGCTTGGGCGGTGTATGAAGCCTGCCTTTTGGGGTGTGACATGCTTCGAGGATTGTCGTCTAACCCTGGAATCGACCTCAATCCAGCCATTCCAGGCCAATTGGGGGATACAATTCTGCATTTTGTCCTTCGATCGCCACCGTCTCGATTTGTAAATGATAAGGCGGATATAGTGGCAATGCTACTGCTTCGAGGCGCCGACGCTTAGCGGCGCGATCGGCTGTGTAATAATGCCTTGCATATTGTAGCAAACTCCTTGCAACAAAGCGACGAATATGGGTATAGGATAATGCAGCTCTTCTATAGCGGATCTAGGCATGTCTTGCCAATGCACGTTCGTAGTCGATTCATCGCAGAAATTGACGCTGTGAATGAAGATGGAAACACTGCATTACATCTGGCCGTCCTGAAAAACAATGTGGGATGTGTGGAGCTTCTACTGAGCCATGGAGCAAACCCACGTATTAAAGGGCAACATGGCAAGCCGCCTTTATTTTTCGCGTTATCTCGCAATGTTCTGCAAGTGTCTCGCATGTTGGAAGCGCATGGCGCTGCCTAGACTAGATGGATGAGCAGGAAACCTGCCGTTTTGATAGCGGCAAAGTTAATTGTCGCAATTTAATATCTCCCAATGTTGTTTTGTTTATAATCACTGGGAATTACCTCATAATCACTCTGTTTGTGGGATGCTTAAGTGAGGCATGTAATGAATTTTTAATATGCTATCTACCTCTACGTGGATTGGTCTGATATGGCGAACGTTCAGGACTACTGATTTCTTCTTCCTCGCCTCCAACCTCTGAAAAAGGGTTAAAAATGATACGTTGTAGACCGCGCGGCGTCCTAATCCTCTTCCAATTATCATAACTGCAACTTATAGCGCCTGCATAGACAGTGTCTACCGATCCTCTGCACATCGGACAGTTTCCCCTCCTACCTGGTTGGTCCCAATTGCCACGTTCTTGGAAAACGAATGATCTAGAAAGGCAAGTCGTATGGAACATATGCTTGCAGTTGGTGATCACAGCGGCGTAGCTATTCATATTTTCAAGCTCTATCACGTCCTGGCAGATGCCGCACTCTCTATCCTCAGTGGGTGCAGATGGGTACAAGTGGTCGTTAGTGAAGTTCCACGTGGACACCTCCCAGGGAAACTGGTTGCCTGGGAAATTAGAGTTAGCAACTCTCACGTTCGGATATGACTCGCTGTGCCACAGATACACTATTGGAGCAAAATAATCGTTACTCCTGCCAGAATCACGGCAAAATCTGCAACAGTAATTGGACATGGTCAAAAAAGGAACAGTTGTGCCAAAGTCCCGCAATAAGCCCTGATCAAAACAACCGCGATGAAATGCACATCCACATTGCAGGCTGATTTCAGGTTGAGATGTCTCTGTGCAGACTCTACATGAGGTCGGTGGCAGACGTCGGTCTTCGTTGTAAATTTTCAACCACTACTAAAACTTCGTATTAGTACACTCCAACTAGAAAGTATCAGACTCGTACCTCTTCAGGAAATGTGCCTGATTGTTGGCTAGTGCTTGGACGTCGGCGCGTGTTTGGCTGTTGACGAGCTTCCTCACGACCCTGGTTGGTAGATCGTTGGCGGTTTGGCGACGGACTGCGAGGAGACGATGGCTGCTGGCTCGACCCGTTGCCTCGCTGTGCATTGGTGGAGGGTTCTTGGCTTGCTCTACTGTCCCGTGCTGTGCGTCTTGGGGTGCGTCGAACTACGGGTGGTGTGTTTTGCCTGGATGAGCCGGCTGGTGGTGATGGTGGCCGCTCTGGTTGTGCCGCACGCGGTGGATTACGCCGCAGTTGCTGACCCTCTGCCTGCAGTAGCCGCCGTTCCGCTGCAGGGAGTGGCTGAGGCGGAGGATTTTGACCAGTGGCGGTGTAGTGCCTGTTAATGAAAGCTTGGCCCTCTTTGTAGCCACCCACGAAAGTGCTTCTTGCTATCCACTTTGTGTCGTCTCCCGACTGTAGCTTGATCCACGTCATAGGATGTTGCTGGAGAGGCTCAGGCACAGGCAACAGAGATGCCACGAGAAGGATGCCAAGACGTCCGTCTCTTCGAAATTCGAAAAACTCAGCCTTTTTCATCGGCTGGATTTCATCAATGGCCACACCTGATAGGCCTACATCCGCCATCCTTCGAGCATAAGCAGGACGAGAACCGTAACCTTCTAGGGGGCGAGTGGAGAAAATAACAATATTTTTGCTAGGGGCCTTTCCTTCAATTCTTGCCGTTTCCCTGTAGCCGGTGTCTGGATGAATAATTTTAAAGTACTGACGCCCGTTTCGTTCCTGCAATTGGCCGTCCAAAGCCAGAGTCCCGTATGTCGGCTCGCCATCGTCGCTTTCTCCATTGTCGCTTTCAAATTCTCCTTCTGAAGCAAATGTCGGGACACCATCGCCATCATCATAATGCTCCGTGTCTGTCCCACTGTGGAGACCCTGTGGGTTTGGATCGCTGGCAGCATTTCCCCTGCGACGACTTCGGTTGTCATCCGCGGCGGGTTGCCTGTCACGCTGGCGGCGGTGATCGCGTGGGATCGATTCACTGGGTCGGGCGGGCCGCCCGCCTGAACCGGATGGTCCCGGACGAGAGTCTGGCTGAGGACTTGGTTCTGATTGTGTATCAGAGGAAGCTTCTGTTGTTGGTCGATCCATATCGACATCACTTGTCTGTAAGCCAATCGGGATCTCCTGCTCGTTGGCATCCCCAGACTCTGCGCTATTTCCATTGGTATTTTGCCTTCGCGGGGGTTGCCGCTGTGGATCTTGCCTTGGAGTGGCTTCTCTTTGTGAAGCTTGTCTTGAGGGGGCTCTCCGGGAATCTTGGTTTGGCAGGACCTGCGTTTGAGAGGCCCGCCTCCGACCTCGTGTTTGAGGTGGTGGGGGAGGTTCGTTGCCAGCGGTAAATTCTTCCGCTACATCCTCTAGATTGGATCGCGTCCGCCCGGACCGGGTCCGCGCAAGGCGGGGGCTTTGCTGTCCCTCTCTGACGATGTCTTGATCAGCTCTACTCATTGTAATGATAATGTAGATGCAGGTAAGGTAGATGAGAAAGAAAGAAGTAATAACGTCCTGAAAGGACAAGCTGAGGATTTTATACCTGAATCTCGGCCATTATCTAACTTTCAAAGTTCAGAAGACGAGAAACAAGCCCTTAGACTCGGGGTTCGAAAACAATGCCTTACCGCTCAATACTTGGAGCCAAGTTCCAAGCTTCACGAACCGAAATCTCGCGGTTTATCATTCAACCTCACTTTCTGGCAGTGTAAAATGTATTCCCTTAGTCGTGCATGTTCAGATTTTCCTTCCACAATTCATCCCGCCCCAAAAAAAAAATGTTTGGCATTATCAACGCATTTCAAATTTCTGCACTGGTCTTTGTCGCTCTTTACAGCTCGTTGCGACGATGGGATGCGTGGATTATACGTCACTTACAACTCATCGCCCTGAAGTACAGCAATTGTACAGGAAGATGGCAGATATCTACAAAGGATGTAGTAATCTTGCTGCTCTTTGTGGGCGTTAACATTGGTTTGATGCTGCGCCAAATCAGCCACCTCCCAATCCACCAGTCTTCTGGCCAGCTCGCGGTTTTGAACATGACCCTGTTATTCCTCGGCGGCAGGACTAACCCACTCGTGGATGTTCTTCAAATATCGGCTGCTACCTTTCAATTTTATTTTTACTGCGTAGCAGCACTAAGTATCGCACAGGCTCTCATTCACGCGTTCAACACCGCCCAAGGAACGACACAGTTCACAACCGGCGTGATAGCACTAGGCTGTGTGCTAGGGTTGATCCTGAGGTACGCAATATCCCACACCGCAGAAAAATGCGGTAAAAGGACTTGCTCAATTTGGATTCGCAAGGTAATGAGTGTGGGTTGTTGGCCTCTGCCCCCTCTCATTACCATAGCCACGGTTTGGCATTTGAACCAGGTTTCTCTTGAGGAGCAATGGGTTTCTTTGGTAGTAAGTTTGATTGGTGGACTGCTATGGCTCACATCTGAATTAATTTGGATGTATAACTACTTTCATCACGGTCGTGCAATCGCCACAATGGAGGGACAAGACGGTCGTGTCTTGAATATTCAGCTGAAGAAGCCCATCAAAGCCAGACCCGGGTATTTCTACATAAGGGCACCCGAGCTGTCGCCTGCGATGCAGAGTCAGCCCATCCATATGCTATGGTGGCAGCCAAATGCACCTTCGATACAGCATTTTGCAGTGTTGACCAACCAGGTGAAACGGGCTCCTTCTCTCGGGCGCTTTCCCATTCGATTGGATGGACCTTACCAGGAAGACCTGCATTTAGGCAAATATGAGGCCGTGATGTTTGTCGCTCAAGGGCCTGCTCTTTCTCGAGTTCTACCGCATCTCCTTTATCTGACCACCAGAATAACGCGAGACAAATTTGCCAAGGTGCAAAGCAATCGGTGGTACCTGGATGGCTTATTCAGTGACAAAACGCGGAAGGTCGATTTATATTGGAAAATGGATCAAAACGATGACATCTCCTCTGTTAGCGCATATTTCGACGAACTAAGCGACTGCGGAGCTGACAGCAAGGTGCAAGCTTGGATATTCTACCCTGAAGGTCTTCCAAGACAGACAAGACTTCCAAGGCCAAAAGGCAGGCAACACTGGTTTCCATTTGACGGGGATTTTCTACGACAAGTGTCTTCAGCGATTGAAACGCAGTCAAAGAGAACACCAGGGCGAGCGAAAGTAGTCAGTAAGTTCATCGCTATCTGGAAACGATGCAAATGCTCCTTCGCTAACTGTCTAGTTTGTGGTTCCGAAGTGTTCAACTCGACTGTTCGAAGAGACATTAGAAATTACATCCAGGCCGATAACCTGATTAGTCTCAGCGAGCTGGTCACTATGTCTTGGGCGACAAACGAGAAGGGCAACAAGCAACAGCAAAAGCTCAGGAAGACAGATGTCGGACATGCAGGCCATAGCGAAAAATAGATCTAAGATCCATAGATCTATTACTTCTGGGCTACGCTTCAAGCTCTCTAAGTAAAAATTCATTTTCTTAAATATAGAAAACTTAGTTCTTCTGCTGTATTTGCCACATACCAAGAGCCTCAAGGCCCGCCAGCGTAGACGGGAGGAAGCGCCGCTTTAACTCGGAAAGGACGTGGATCTGAGAGCAGATCTGTCAGACAGATTCCAAAATCTGCCAAACTGGAAACGAGAAACTTTTTTAAACCAAAATAAAGTGCTTCTTCATCTAATTAAAGCTGGCTTTCTTTATCCTCTGCATCAAGCGTCACTCAATGTCATCGGAGTCGGTGTAGTTGGTCGGAAAATGAAACGGCTACGGCGAGGCTGCCTTGTCGGCAAACATCTACAGTTGGCTTTCGCCGGCGGAAAGGCATAGATCTTCATCTCCAGCTCTTTCACATACTGTTCTAAATCATCCACCCTTTGAATCAATCCGGCACAATTCAAAGCACAGCATTGTTGCACGTCAGGGTGGCGCTTAATATCCGAGTGGCCAACAGCAGCCCCGTCAGTTGCCCGCCTCATTGTTTCAACAATAGTATCGTCTGCGTCACCCGCTTCAGGTATGCTTACGAGAAATCGACACAGAGAATGCTACACCTAGTAGCTCAACAGAAATAACGACACCATCTCTTGTATTTATACTTTTTTTGCCCAGGTCCTACTGTACCAGTACTACGCACTGCGAACACGTCAGTGACTCTTAACGGTCTATTTTTGGACGATTTTTGATAACAATGCATGGTGTGATTTGTTTCTATTTTTTGCAGCGGAGCAAAGTTCTTGAAGCGGCGCTTGCAGGATTGCTAGTAGATGTGATTAGGACCAGTCACTAACAGGGGAGCCGACGAATCATAGGTGCCCGCTGCAGCGCTAGGTATCACCTGTGCCTTCTAATATGGGCCGCCTGACACCTGACGGAAGTGCTAGGACATGGCAAGAGCCTGCGTGTATAAATATCGCTTCATTTCCCTCCACGTCATGGAAACATAAGTCGTAGTAACGCAACTACCGTAGAGTAGGATGGCCGAAAGCAAAGATGCTTATATTCTTCTCGAAGAAGAGAGAGCGAAGCATGAAGCGACCAAGGCCGAGCTAGAGCAATATCGCAATTGTTGTGAAGGTTGGGAGTCTGCTTACAATGCTTCCTCGGCCATAGTCACTCAGCTCAGTGCAAAGGTATCCTACCTTGAAAGGATGTTGTGTGCCGCACAAACTCGCCATCTACAGCTCATGACCGAAAACGGCAGACTCAATCTGACGATCCGGCATTTAGTATGAAGCATCCCCTCAACAATCTACCATATGAACTAATGTTTCTTAGGCTCCATGGAGTTGGATTAGCATCCCACCAGCGAGCTCTTGCCCAGCTCTGGAGTCTGAGGATAACGACTACTAAGAGGTGAAAGAAGACGACACAAAGGGGGAAGGTGATCAAAGTGATTGTTAGTAGCCACTTGGTGGTGGCCAAGGCAAAAATGTGAACAGTAACCGTAATTGTTATTGTAGACCCCATGGTTTCAACTATTCTCAGGGATCCTTGGCTTTTGTTGAAGCCACTGCGGCCTCAATACCTGCGAGCCTGCTTCTCAATGCTTGCACTTCCTTCGAAATTTCGAGGACGTGGGTTAGAACTACCCTGCGCCAGAATCTCGCAGATGCACGATTCTGCTCAGAAACGTCCTGTAAATCTTCAGGCATAGATGCATCATTCTCCACCAATGTTAAATGTGCAATCTGACAATCACAACGCTCTCCCATTGTGACAATAAATTTACCAACTTGCCTTCTGAATATTGATACTAGACTCGGTACGATATGAAGCAAGGCATGAACACCCACGGTCGTTTGTCAACCGCTATATATAATTATTGTCCCAAAGCACATGATCACACAATGCAGTTACTTCACACGGCACTCGGCAACATGCAACAAGTTGTATATTATCTATAGAAACACACCTCACTACAAGACATTGAACGGGACACCCAATCGCAACACGATGTCAGACCTGTTGGTGATGACATTTTGTGAGTATCAACCAACACTCACGCCTGAGACTTATCTGCACGGCACGCCCCCGTCATAGTTTGTATCACTGTGATGGTTGTAGCGGCAATGGTTGGGCCCAGGGCTGATTTGGTGTTGCCTGCTGTGGAAGAGGCTGTCTGTGCTGATGGAGTTGTTGTAGTGGGGGCAGCGGTCGTGGGAACAGGCGTGCTAGTGGCTGTACTACTCATGGTGGGATCTGGCAGGGGAACCAGGGCCAAACAACTTGCAGGATTGCATGTTCCAGGTGTGGTTGGATTAGGTTGCGTTGGCGCTGATGTTCGTGGACCTAGCGTATGCGCCGTGGGGTTGACAGCGGTTGCAGGCTTAGTATGGTCGGTATTGCTGCCCGGCCAGGTTGGCGCCTTTGACGATCCGTCAGAAGCAGTCTGGTCAAGAAAGAACCTTGTTGTGAGGCTGGCTACGGCCGTTGTCATGGTAGTCGTGATGGCTATGGTCCCACTAGTCGTCGTCAAAGTATTTGTGACAACGGCCGCGACAGGCTCAACGCACCCCAAGCGACCCTCCAGGTATCTATTTATGGCTTTTGCGTCACCGCTACCCCGGCTGTTTGCAATCACAGCGCTGTTGCACATCGGCGATGGTTGCCCAACACACAACCTTTTACCGTTAGCTGGCATCGAACGGGTGGGATGTTTGACACAAATACCAATGAATGGAGGCAGCGCCGGCCGGGGCTTCGGAGGGAAGGTTGAATTCGGCAATTTGGCGCCCTGAACAAGCCATTTGCCCAAACTGAACAGTTATTGGCAGAAATTCGTCGTTCTCAAATTGCAGGATTGCTTCGCAGGGGCCTACGCTGTTAGACGCGCTGTCGACGCTGCTCCAAGTTCAGTACGGAAGGCCAAATTTAGAAAGACCGGGAGTATGCACGCACTAAGCAGACACCAATTCACCAGCCTTCAGGGGCAGCGGCGGATCAGACTGGCAAATTGTTGGTAAAGTCGCCATGCCAGCGGCAACATTGCATGCTCCAATGATAGTAAAGAACCGCATATTGTGGAGTGTTGAGTGAAGAAGCTCAAAATAGAAGTAGTTTGCAAGCCAGACAGTAGGGCCTCGGGAGAAATTTATAAGTCATTTACGGCCACTGGTTCTGAGACTTTGATTCTTAAAATTGGGCACTTCAGATCTTTGCAACAGTTCTTCTAGATGCAGGATGCCAGCTCTCTTCCCTAGGCTTTCACTCTAGCTCACTCTCGTTCTGGCTATAAGAGACACCCTGTGCGTGCCCCTGATGACAATGGACAAACTTAACTCACTCAAAATGTACTCCGAATCAGACTTCACACTTCCTTTTGAGCAGATTTTAGACTGCGGCCTAGCATCCATGGCCCCTGAAGCACCAATGACCGATTCACTTGGGGCTCCGTTGACTTCCGAGAAGCAGTAAGTGCCACATCCCTAGTAGGTCCGAGAAGCATCCTGATTGGGCAAGTATCCTTCAATGTATACTTCAGAAACTAGAGCACCTCGAGAAGGATGTTGGTCAGAGTACACGTCTGGAGAAGAGGTTTGATACAGTCGATAGAGAGCTATCAAATAACTCCAGACTTGAGGGGATTGAGAAAGACATTGGAAAGCTGCGAGATTCCATCAATAGCCTAGCAAATGACTTGAGGAGTTTCTCCGTAGAGGTGAACATGAGGCTCAAGGAAGCGAACTATCCTGCGGAATGATGAGATGGTGCGGAATCTAGAAATGAAACCTAGGAAACTAGACACTCCTGTAAAGTATATATGTAGGACTATTTCCCTTCGACAGGGCTCGTAGCTGCAAATCCCATAAGGAGCACCATGGACCGCCATAAAACGCTGCCTCCAGTACCTACTCGCCAGCAGGCCCCTGAGAAACTTGGCTCGTTCTCACCAGAGACATACATCCAATTGCTGGAAGACGAAAACGAGCAGCTGCGGCTTCGCAACCAAGAATTAATTAAGCAGATGCGTGCATTGGAAGCCAAATTGGCTGCAGAGATACAGACTAAGGCGAGTTTGTCTGAAAATTTGAAGGAGACGAAGGGTGAAATCAGGCGTCGCGATGAGACCATCGCCAACATTGCAGGAAGAATCGTCCAGGAGTTTCAGCGCTATGCCGACTCCGTACAAGGTCAGTCTGTGGAAGAAGGATACATTCCGATTGGCTATAGCTATTTCGATTCAAGTTCTTGAAATTAGTTTGAACAAATTTCAGATTCTACGAAATAGATCTTAAAATGAACCATTCTCCCCTCCAGGTTCTCAAAACCAAGATGAAAGTCGTAATTATCAGGCAGCATCCAGGGGACAGTGAGTGACTGGTTGAAACACGCGGACTCATGGCGGCAGGCTACCATATTTTTAGCAACTTCGGGCCGGATCTCAGGGCCGGCGGCTAATTCTTTCGGCGCGACTGTTTGGACGCGTCCTGCACTACTATATAAACTCCCTTATGTGCGGTTCCGGTTCTTCAATTCAGCAAACAATTTCCTAGATTCTCAAACAGCTAGAAGGATCACGCTCAGCAGTCCACCCCGCTTCCATCATCAGAGCAGGGTCCGCCGCAGACACCAGTTTCCTCGTCAATTCCCACGCCAGTTTCCACGCCAGGTTCCTCAGAATGTTCAGTCACTGGTTCTAGAGCACCTCGTCGAACAAGGTCACATGCGACAACGCTCTTTAACATAGCAAACTAGACCAGCCGTGCTACAGTCTCTTGTAAATTATCTATCTGTTCCTTCAATGAAGATTTTGGGTGATCATTCGCGTCTAAACATGGGAGAAGATCTGTAGGGCAGCTACACAGCTCTCTAGTGCCCGTAGCAAGTGTCCCATTAAGCTTCACAGTGATTATAGATCTTGGAGAATGTAGCAGGACTTCCAGGCGTCGCAAAAGCGGTCTTCCGTTCTTCAACCCCTCTAATATCTGATCAGTACACAGGAGGAAATATCTAACTTGACCGCTCTCGTGAAACTGAATGTGAACCCTCCTCCTTCGCATCCTCATGGCGATGTCGAGTAAATGTCGTCCCGCGGGCAGTCTACACTTGACCCAAAGTACAAAGCGAGCGGGGAAGAGATCGTAGAAAGTCGGAATTCCCTCCCTTTGAACATAAAACAGAGCCGATATGAGCTCATTTGCCATGCTCAGCGTCTCCGGGTAATTACTGTTGTGACATTGTGTAATTACGTCGATACGGCCATCCGGCCATATGCGATTAGCCTCAATGAAAGCTCGAGCGGCGATGTTGTCGACACCTTGGAACAGAATTGAGAATTTTTGCAGCCATTTCGATGATTTTGTAATGTAGTTTTGGCAAATTGCTAGACGGCTGTCTGTATTGTACAAAACCAGCTTTATCTTGGCATCAAGAAGGTCGCTTCTCGGGAATCTCAACCCTTTGCCAAAAAACAGGCTCTTGTCATCAATCCTAACGCACTTCAGCTTCGGTAGGTGATAAATGCAGTCCTCGACGGTAGCTTGGTTGCAAAAGATCATTACCATGAAAAAAGCGCCTATGCCGCTCCCCAAGACGAGATCAAAATAATCCTCAAGGCGGCCCGACAGCGACGATCGAAGATCCTTCAGGAACATTGCGATCGGCAGTGCATCGTCAACGTTTCCATGAAGGTTGAGAACACGAATACCGGCCGAAGGCGGCTTCAGAGCCGTTTGCACTGAATTAACAGCTCCGCATAGAACGCAGAAGTGCATCTGGTATATGTCGATGCCCTCTTCGCTTTTCTTGCCGTTGGTCTCCGTGCAATTATCGCATACCCTGTGGCCGCATGATAGGGTAGTCGCAGAAGTGCATCTGGTATATGTCGATGCCCTCTTCGCTTTTCTTGCCGTTGGTCTCCGTGCAATTATCGCATACCCTGTGGCCGCATGATAGGGTAGTCGCTGGAAAGCGACAGAGACACACGAGACATAAATCTGTGGGCAACGTAATTTTGCTACTGCATGAAAGTGTACGCATCGAGCTTGCTAGAAGTGTTTGTCTTTCCGAGGGTTCGGCCTTCATAAACTGTATAAACAGTGTTCTGACATCTGCTTTAAGAGTTACCGGTTCTATGCTGCTTAACATGGGCGAATAAAATTCGTCGAACCAGTCGGTGGAAGACAATTCCATTAATTTAGGGTTCAACATACGACCAACTCGCCGTCTATGCTGATACGTTTCTAACAAAAGTGAATTGGCTATGGCGCTGCAGGCCGATTCGTAGAGAGTAGCGTCGTGCATTGTCAGGCGGACTAGTTTCTCTGCACCCCATGATAGTTGACCTGGCAAGGGGTTTGTGCGCCATGCTTGTTGAAAACTGAAAGTCTTCCGGTGGTCTTCAGCGAACTGTGAACAGGTCGAGCGCAAGAGGTGTTTCACGTCGCAATTTCGGAATGTTAGGGCTGTGTCATTGTTTCGAGTTGCCTGTGTCCACTCCAAAACATGATCAGCCGACGTTCGCGACCTGCAGCCACGCATCAGCCGAATTCCTGCAAAGCAACTACGCCATCTCTTCTCTGCCTGACTAAATGAGAGCCCCTCGAGGGGACTGTAGTGTGACATAAGTTCTGCTGCTAAATCTCGTTCAACGTCTCTCAGAGCAATCTTTGGCTCGTCTTCCGAAACAATTAGCACCTGTGGTCTGCAGCGAATAGAGGAAGCAAATGACAGGTCCACCCAACGAGCCAAGACTCCCACAATGGTGAGAATATCCCAGTAATCGTTCTGAATGAAGACCACGGCTTCGCAGAGCGGAGACAGAGCCCTGGCATAAAACTCGTGGGCAAGGTCCTCGGGGCAGCCGTACGATTCTACCTGTCTTCTGGTCAAATTTGGCGGACAAGGGCCTGCCTTCATCGCAGGGTATGACTTCTGATGATGAAGGTGGCAATCCAGCAGAATCGTCTTGGCAAATCGGCACATGCGAACTTGTCTGGGTGCTTCTGCCCCGCTACATCCCCCCGTGCAAAACAACAAAAGCAGTTTGGCCTGCCCATCGGGCCGATTGTCAAAGCTCTGATAGGGCTGATGGAATTCCTGAAGCACAGGCGTCCTGAAGTCATTGCCGCCTCGCACAATGTCAATCCAGGCCGACATGATGGAAGAGTTGCTGGCCGCTGTCGAGGCTCCGCCGGCGGATCGCTGGCTGAAATATCTGCTTGCGCGTCTGTTATCTGATATCTATGTTCTCGGATACTCGTGCTTCGCAAGTTGCAAAGCTAGAATACGTAATCTTGGAACCACGATTCACCGCTGCCATCTGGCTGTCCAATTGCAAATTCATACAGCTGACTACCTGCGATGTCCGGTATGGGAACCCCTCATTGTATTTACCTAACAAGTCCCATTTCTTCCCCTTAAATGTAGCCTGTGCATCATTTCCATCATATCCCTGTCGTTTGGGGGTTCATCTGAGGGTCGAGTTGCCCAACTTCCCCGGCCTCTGGGATCCGGCACAGGGCAACATGCTTTGAAACCATGTTTTCTGATCCGTTTTCTCATGGCACTTTCACTATGGGCTTAGTTCTGGCATCCGAGCCATTGCTTTGTTCTTCCATGGGGCTGCATATGTGGAGGTTTTGCCGAGAGTTGATCAATGGATATGGAGTCGGTGATCGCCATATTTCTGGGCGGTTGTGGGGCAACTCCAGACGGGCTGAAGCGGTGCGCGTTCAAGTATCCGGTAGAACTAGAACAATTCATAGAAGGTGCATTCATTTGTACAGAACTGTTAGTTATAGGTTTGCCAGTTATTAGTACTAGCAATAATACAGATGACATCCAATTCAAATCATTTCTAGTTAGATAGTCCTAATCCCCCTTATATCTAGCTGTTCCATCATGTCGGTAACATCTTTGCCCGCTGCGTCTATGTGATAGCCAAGCTCACTATCCCCGGTCTCTGGGATCTCGAGTATGGGAGCATTGTTAATATTAACACTTTCGGGGCTCTTCCATAGCCCATTCATGTTGAGCTTATTTTTGTCGTTGGAGTCATTGTTTTGTTCTCTGGTGGGATTGCATACGCGTCGGTCTTGTTTAGAGCAGTGAAACGGGTACGGCGTCGGTGGTCGGGTCACCTCGAGGGAATGGTGGGGTAACTGCAGAGGAGTAGGTTTCTTGGCTTTGGACCGCTGGGTGCTCCTGTATCCGGTGCACAAAAAACAGTTCATAGTGGTTGTGTGTTATGGTATACTCCCTTCCTTGGGCTTGCCTTAACCCACCCTCTTGCTGCTTATATATTCTTGCTAAGAATTAAAAGACCTTGGCGCTCATTATCAAGATCTAAGAACTCAGCCAGTAGTATTCCAGAATCAAAACTCGTAATCTTGTTTATCAGTTTCTGTTTTTTAAGCGCCATTGCAGTCAAACTAGACTAAAAACATCTGCTAGAGGAGGGCGCACATTTAGGCGGACCGGGCTGATTAATAGTGGCTCTCGTCTGAAACTCAAATTTACGTAACTACTGGAACCACAGAATCTAGTACTGAGAACTGGACTGTAGTTTCTTGGTTTTGTATGTGTTCAGCTACTGCCACGCTATCCATCGAGTCCATTGAAAGCCCCAGACAGGGACTCGCAGGGAGCACCACTAACGATCCACATTATCTAGCCACGTCAGATCTCAAAATTTAATAACTAGGTTCGAAGAACTTGTTAAACAGATTCAAGTATTAAGATCTCTGTTATAGCGTCCAAGTAGCCACGACATGAGTCTTCTGGAAGCCGCAGGAAAGACAATGTCCCGCCTGGAAGCGAGGCCACATCACCCACTGCGAGCTTAAGTCGCGAGCCCGTAACGGTGCGTTTATGAGCGTGCCATAAGGGCCTGATAAGCTATATGCTGACATTCGATATGGGCTCATGCTACGACACAACACAGGGGCTCAGATATCGCCAAACTTAGAGAATGTAACTGCCAAGACTGCCTAAGATAGTCGGACACAAAACCGCTTCTCACCTAGGCCGAGACGGGAGGATAGGATTATGGCAGACATTTGCAAAGAGATTCATTCTTGATTCAACCTATAACAACGACCAATATTACATGTTTCCAACCTTATCAATTCTCATGTACTCCATTATGTCCCCCGGTGAGATCATCGTACGACCTGTTGTTGCTGAATCTTGCGTCAATTGGCTGCCGATAGAGGTAGTTACAGTTCTTCTGGGAGGTGTACCGAAGCTGGGAGTAGATCCGTCCTCATTAAGTGGACAATCAGTCAAGTCAAGCGACGAACAATTGCTCGGAGACGATGCTTGTTGAACATCCGGGACGAGGATGGACGGCGGGCTTTCGGATTGTGGCTGCCGCATACGCCTTCGATTCAGAGCAGACTGTGCGGCAGAAATCACGGCAGAATCTGAGCCCAATTGGCTGTATGAGACATCTAATCCTTCAAGGTCCGTAATCGCAGATTGCTGTTGTATTTCGACGGACGCTGCTGGAGTGCTCGTGGAGCTCAAATGTAGGTCATGTGCTCTGAGTATCGTGTCTTGGTCTATGACGCTGTTCTCCTTAGGAAACCCGGCAAAAAAGGAACGCATGAAATCGCATTGCACAAACATAGTGCTAGGGTACAAGCAAATCTCGTTCTCCCTGAGCATTCTTGGCAGAAATAAATTGTTTGCTATATAGCGATACGAGCATGTCAAGGGTCGACCACATCGCCTTTTTACAACACTCTCTTGAGATTTGCAGGGAAAGCTTTGGTTGGGAACAGGTAGCAGAGTAGTAGTCGAAATAGAACGCAACTTAGACTCAATTGTACTAGAATTAAATCCTTGAGCTTGCGCGTGTAGTAAAAACCTCTTTAGTGTTGACTCGTCAGTGCCTGCATGGATTGGCTGGATCCCATGCTGCACAATTGGTCTTTCGGCAGACAGATGCGGAAAGTTTCTCAAAGCCGATATAAAAAGTGCCTGAAAAGCCAAAGAGAAGCTTGGGGAACAAGTTATTGGATAGAATTGATGTTCCGCGTGTTCTATCAAAGTCTCCCTTGGTTGCCATATTTCTTGCATTGCTTGAGCCACAGTTTCATGTTTGCCCAGTGGGCGACCATCCAGAAGATGGTCCCGGAGTATGCGCATACCAACTCTCAAATACTTCATGTTGCCGTGAAAGGTCTCAATGCTTGGAATAACTACGCCTATCCCGAGCAGCTGCTGCTCAATTTGTCCGCGTAGATGAGAATCTGAAATGCTGCCGAAAAGCTTTCCAGATCGCATGAGAAGCCGTACCTTATCGTTGTCGGCATAGCTTGCGGACGGGCATAGGAGTGTAAGCTCTTTGACGGTTTCATTATCAGTTGCCATACGTACATCCGAATTATTCAGGGTAATTTTTCTCCAGGTCTCTTTGATGTGGCGCAGATAATTGTATATTTCTTCAGGGCACCTGTCAGCAAAGTGCTTATCTATGTTGCCAAGTTGCCAGCCATTGCGAAGACCAGGGTAATCCGTTAACTCGTACAACAGTTCAGACATTACTTCATCTTCCAGTATCCTCTTGAGAGCCCCTTTCTTGTCTTTAGACAAGTGCAGGTGCCAGTAATTCTCGTTTTCACGCTGGCGCATTCGTCGGCATGCAAAGACATGGCGAAATACGTCGCCATCAGAAAGCTTCATCTGATGAGAGCTATGATCAATGTGACGTAAGAGCAAAATCTCCGGATCGCTTCCCTCCGGTATACGAAATATTCGCACACTCCACCACTTTTCAGGTCCGAAATTCCGCATGGCTGCTTCATAACGTTGTCTACCATGTAAACAACGCACATTTCCAGTCGGCTTTAGCCGCGGAAAAGGAGGCTGACCATGAGCCAAAGTCTCCAACTCGATCCCTGGTGTTTGCGTGAGTATAAGAGCAAGCTCACTTGGTGACACAAAGACAGGAATTTGGTTTTCCATGGCATCCGGATCACACCTTTCCTTGAAGATGGCTGCTAGGCAATCAACAGCGGCCAGTTCTTTGTCACGAGCGAAGGGAAAGGTGAGATTTCGCAGTTGGATTTGAGCGTATCCAAGTTCATAGCTCTCCTTGAAAGGCGTGGTGGATTCCATGTTTGGTGTTGCAGGTTGTATTGTAATTGAAGAAAATTCTCTCGGTCGATTAAAGAACAGCCCAACGGAAGCAAAGAGGTCAATTATGTCACATCTTACATAGCAATTTGAACGCAGCCAGAAAAAATATCACCGAGTTCTGCGATTCAAGAATTAAGATCCAGGCTGTTGGGAACAAAGATCCAATAGTTTAGATACCGAAGAGTAGGATTCAAGAGCAAAGAACCCAAAACTGATTCAACACCACAGTACCACTATGAGCGCTGCTATCCCCCGTGGATGGCAGACTCCCGCTGCTGTCCTCAGTGGATGGCAAGCTTATTCTGCGCTGTCCCCAGTGGATGGCAAGCCTTCTCTGCTATCCCCCGTGGATGGCAGACCCCCACTGCTGTCCTCAGTGGATGACAAGCTTATTCTGCGCTGTCCCCAGTGGATGGCAAGCCTTCTCTGCTATCCCCCGTGGATGGCAGACCCCCACTGCTGTCCTCAGTGGATGACAAGCTTATTCTGCGCTGTCCCCAGTGGATGGCAAGCCTTCTCTGCTATCCCCCGTGGATGGCAGACTCCCCCTGCTGTCCTCAGTGGATGACAAGCTTATTCGCGCTGTCCCCAGTGGATGGCAAGCTAATTCTGCGCTGTCCCCAGTGGATGGCAAGCCTTCTCTGCTATCCCCCGTGGATGGCAGACTCCCCCTGCTGTCCTCAGTGGATGACAAGCTTATTCTGCGCTGTCCCCAGTGGATGGCAAGCCTTCTCTGCTATCCCCCGTGGATGGCAGACTCCCCCTGCTGTCCTCAGTGGATGACAAGCTTATTCTGCGCTGTCCCTAGTGGATGGCAAGCTTATTCCGCGCTGTCCCCAGTGGATGGCAAGCTTATTCTGCGCTGTCCCCAGTGGATGGCAAGCCTTCTCTGCTACCCCCCGTGGATGGCAGACTCCCCCTGCTGTCCCCAGTGGATGGCAATCCCCCACTGCTTTCCCCCCTTGTGGATAGCAGTCTGCTGTTGTTCCAGGAAGACCAGCTTGCCAATTGGACGACCAAATACATCTTTGCACAGTACGATGGAACTACAGGCCAACCTTTTTATGATTTTCGTTGAGTTTGGAGCAGAACAGTCAATTATCCTATTTAGTGGTTGTAACTATTATCCACAAATCCTCCTTACTTCTTCAGGTGAGTAGATTGTGCGACCGGTTGTCGTCGAACCTTGTGAATATCGGCTTCTGGAATACATTTCTGTGGCTCTGGGTGAGGAGTGCAAGGGCGGACGGTCACTATGCGCCTGTCCTGCTGGGTGTGCTGGTGAAAGCAGGGACCGCTCGCTCTGGCACTCTTGGTAGAATATGGTGTCGGCAGAGCGGATGGTGTTGTCTGGACGTAGTTCGTCGTTTGGACTCCGCGACCCCGTTATTTCGCGGTCAGTTTGAAGCTGTTGGAGCTCAGGCCTGGTTGGAGTGTCTGGGAGGATGGCCGTTGCCATTGGCAGGCTCGTTTCTGCAGCCACTATACCCATGACTCTGCCGCTGTCGTCGTGGGCAAATTCGTGGAAAAAAGAGCGCATGAAATCGCTCTGGATGAAATTGATGGTCGGGTATGCGCCAATTTCACTTTCCACAAGCATCTGGGGCAGAAAAAGAGAGCGGGATATGAAGTTATAAGAGCTAGTTCTCGCGCGGCCACATCTCCGCTTAGGTATGCTTTCTTGTAAACCCTCGTACCCTTGACCACCGCTTGGAGGCGCGTTGCTGGGAGGAACTTCGCGCAACTTTGACTTGATCTTCTCGGAATTAAATCCTTGGGCTTGCGCATGCCTCAAGAATCGCTGTAGACAAGACTCATCAACACCCGCATTAATAGGCGGCAATCCACTCTCATGAATTGGCCCTTCGTCAGATAACTTCGGGAAGTTTCTGATAGCCGATATAAAAAGTACGTGATACGATATAGAGAAGCTTGGGGAACAGGTTAATTGATAAAATTGATTTTCTGCATGTTCGATCAAGGTTTGATGCGGTTGCCATGATTTTCGCATAGCCTCAGCAACACTTTTTTCTGCGGGCAAAGCATCCAGCAGATGATTTCGAATTATCCGCATACCAAGGACTAGATACCTCATATTTTCGTGAAAGGTCTTGATGCTGGGTATAATTACACCTATATTTAGCAGCTGCAGCTCAATTTCGGCACGGAGATTGGCATCAGAAACATCGCTCCAAAGTTTGCCTGAGCGCATCATGTTCCGAATTTCTCCCCGCTCAACATGGCTACCAGAAGGGGCAAGACGTTGGAGCGCTTGAACCGTTACAGTATCAGTCGCCTGTTGGATTCGTGGATTGCATAGTGTAATTTTCCCCCAGGTGTTATAGATATGGGTAAGGTAGTTGCAGATTTCTTCGGGACAACGCTCACACAAATGCTTCTTCATATTTGAAAGCTGCAAGCCGCTGCGGAGACCAGGATAGTCAGTCAGCTTGTACATTGCTTCGGCCACAAGATTCTTCTTCATGAGTCTCCTGAGGCCAGTTTTCTTATCTTCGCTTAGGTGTAGATTCACATGATCAATATGGCCCATTTGACCCGCTCGCCAATGAGCATACGTTCGGCGAAAGACCTCGCCATCCGAAGGTGGCGTCTCAAATGAGTGATCGTTTATCACTCGTTGAAGCAGATTCTCCGGATGGTGTCCCTCAGGAACAAGAAATACTCGAACGTTCCACCATGCTTGTGGTCCTAAGGTCCGTATTGCGGCTTCACATCGTTGCCTACCCTGTAAGCATCGCACATTTGTGACGGACTGGAGCCGCGGATAGGGATGCTGGTCTCGCATCAAATCAACAAGGCTAATATTACATTGCGCATATACCTGCTCGAGCTCACTTGGCCAGAAATAAATTGGAATCTGGTTTTGTTTGGCGACTGGATCACAATGTTCGTTGAACACCCTTACCAGACGGTCAATTGCAGCCGGTATTTTATCACGAGAGTGCGGGAAGGTGAGGTTTCGCAATTGGACTTGAGCTCCGCCGAGACATTGATCCATAATGGAGATAATTTATAAAGTTTGAGTTGTGAAAACCATGCATGGCTTTTTCTTACGTGTCGTACGGAATACTTTATACTTTACGGCGGGCTCTGTGACAGGCTGTCTCAGCCTCTTTTGGGAGCAAGCATCATGTTCCTGTCAGATCTTTGGAAATGTAAGTCCAGATTCAGGAACTTGGTTGTTCGAGAAGAGACGTGGGCCAGTCGTGACATCGTTATCGAGATTAGTCGGAGACCGCAAAAACAGGTCGCAGTGGCGATATAAGATGCCAGATTATGGATCCAAAATTCCAAATCTTGACACTCAGATTTGAGATCTTGCAGCTAATCTGTGATGGTCAGCTCCGGCAAGGCTCGCACCCTAGGCGATGGACACCCACCCATACCATTCTACAGTGGCATGGCCAAGTTTACTGGGTATTAGCGCGTGCTTCGGGGTCGGAAAGCTTTGCTATGCTTCATAAGTATGTTTGCAGCACAACCACTGAAACTCGCATGAAAGCAAAAGATGAGCGAGCACTGGGCTTCATATTGGGCACGGAGCGCCTAACTTCGCTAGCATCCTGCGAAGTGTGTTCTCAGTATCTACGTGAGCGGTCTCTAGCCTCTGCATTCTTGCTATTATGTCGGCTGCTCTTTCTGAAAGTCCGAGAAGGGCATTCTTCTTCTCAGTATCTGTCTGGCCGGCTTTTAGCTTCTCCATTATTGCCTCTATGCATGCCACTTTTTCGGAAAACGTGATGAGGCCGTTCTCCCTCTCAATGTCTACTTCGACGGCCTCTAGTTTCTCCATCATTGCTTTTAAGTCTGTTTTGCTCCCTGAAAGCTCCAGGGCATTCTCTTGTTGAGCTAGTTGACCTAATAATAGGCGCACGGTCTGGACTATAGCTTGATTGCCAACCAAGTCTTCAAACTTACTTTGCCGCAAGACTCGGTTTCGTGCATTTCTGGCTGCGAGGTTATACTCAAGGTTCAGTTTCTCCACGCTGAGTCTGTTTTCAGTAGCATTGGTAGTAAAGCAAGACGTTCGACGACCATCTCTCGTCACTCGTATTACATCTGCGGAGACTTGAATGCAGGGCGTGCTTGTAGATGATTGAGGTTGCAAGTTCATGACGAAGACTACTCAAATTTTGGCCTGAACTGGAGTAGAAACTTTACCGTTACACACCACGGCCAAGGGGAATCAGTTCCTTTTATAGCTTGGAAGAGTTCAAGGAGGCACTGGCACGGTATAAGTGTTTCTGTTAGGGCGGGGGAAAACTCTTCGGTAGTACTGAGGGTGAAAAACGAGTGGAGGGGGTGATTATGAGGGTGCTTTGAGATATTGTTAGTACAAAGGCTGTATGGTCCATGTCGTGGCCGGAGTGTATTTACATGTCCCCACAACTTTCACCCTCAGCGCTAGTACAAAGCGAAAATAATGTTGAGGCCTACATAGACTGTTACGAGGTTGCCTAGAAGAAGTCTGGGAATTGCGGTGCTGTCGAAGTACAATGCACCACCAGCGTGGACTTCGAAATTATCCGGGGAGGGCGTCGCGATATGACTATTCTTCACATGGAACAGCCATTGACATTTAGTGAAAAGGGTATACGAGGTTGCCTAGAAGAAGTCTGGGAATTGCGGTGCTGTCGAAGTACAATGCACCACCAGCGTGGACTTCGAAATTATCCGGGGAGGGCGTCGCGATATGACTATTCTTCACATGGAACAGCCATTGACATTTAGTGAAAAGGGTATCGGAAAACTGATGGGACCTAGGGCGTTGACCCTGGTTTTTTTAACTTGTCCCATTCTTGTCAAATTTATGCGACATATCACATCAGCTGCTTGATGAAGCGCGCGCCAAAATCATGCGACCAGTTTGTCGGCCGAATTATTCAGGCCTTTTTGACAAACAGGGATGCTCGGCTTTGTGATCTTCCGATTGCTCAAGTCTTGTTACCTGGCTGCCTGATGTGGAGAGAAGAAGTTCAAGGCGTAGATGCAACAGTTCATTGATCAATCTCTTAGGGTGCCCGATGCGCGACCCCTAAAAAGCCCCGGACTTGGACCTTCCTGCCTGACAATCTCACTGGCCGATTGTTCTGAAGTCGTTCATGCAACGTACTCCGTGCAGCAGGCATGCAATATTGGGCGGCTGTCACCCCTTTGCTTCGTAGCATGCATTTATGTTCTGCAAACACGCATATTTCGTGGCCTTTTTGGTTGACAAAGGTGAATACACCGCAGTCCAGCACTTCAAGCCTCTCTCTCTAAACGTAGAGGGACAGCGCCCCTCACCCTTGCGCAAAGCGTTGTACGCAATTGGTCATGAGCCATTGGCCAGGGATTCAAACCCGTCTCGTTCGGTGAGATTGTGTCCGTAACGGGTATGCTCTTATCAGCCCCCGAGCTGGAGCATGCACGAAGGCGTTAACTTGAACTAAAATTGGGAGCAGGTTTAAACACGAAGTTAGTCTGGGGATAAGCGAAGATGGTAGAGACGCGTGAATATGGATGACCCGCTACAAACAGTTCATCGCAGAAAACTCAGTGGTGGCGGTAACGATGACGGTGACAGTGGCGGCGACGATGATGGTGGTGGGAGAAAGCGATGACGGTGAAAACAGCCGAACTAATGGTGTAAGGCCATGAACCCAGTACAGAAGGATCAGTGCGACAGCTCAGTGTAGACAGCCAAGTGCAGACGGCTTGGTGGAGGCGGCTCAGTGCAGACGGCGCAGTACAGCCGGCCCAGTGTAGTGCAGTGGCTGACTGAACGAGGTAGACACCATGAGAGGCTTGGTTGAGGCACATGGTCCAATGAGCATGGTTCGTTATGTAAGCTCAGTAAGCACACCTCAGTGAACACTGACAAGAAGTAAGATGGGATACGCGAAGATCCCAGTAAATACCCGCGGCTCAACTCTTTCCACTAGAAATGGCCAGCACAGATCCGGGGGCTTTCTTGCATGTCCATGGGCGACGACGAGCAAGGACTACAGTAGCTACAAAAATTGCAGATGCCAGGTCCGTTTCCATACCCCAGGTCTTCTCTACCTCTCCGAGTCGGGGAGCGTATTCGCTTTTCAGCTGTCTTACCCCAGACGTCCAGTCTCTCCTTTATTTCTGCTTCCTTGTCTCTGTGTTTTGCTGAGAGTTCGAGAATCGCATTGTGTTCTTGAGCTAACTTTTGTAAAGTCGAGGTCGAGGCATCGGCTGCAGGTTTCATTTTTTTTTAGCAAGCCTGCACGCCCACGCCTCTTTACTTTGCCGCAAGACTCGGTTTCGTGCATTTCTGGCTGCGAGGTTATACTCAAGGTTCAGTTTCTCCACGCTGAGTCTGTTTTCAGTAGCATTGGTAGTAAAGTAAGACGTCCGACGACCATCTCTCGTCACTCGTATTACATCTGCGGAGACTTGAATGCAGGGCGTGCTTGTAGATGATTGAGGTTGCAAGTTCATGACGAAGACTACTCAAATTTTGGCCTGAACTGGAGTAGAAACTTTACCGTTACACACCACGGCCAAGGGGAATCAGTTCCTTTTATAGCTTGGAAGAGTTCAAGGAGGCACTGGCACGGTATAAGTGTTTCTGTTAGGGCGGGGGAAAACTCTTCGGTAGTACTGAGGGTGAAAAACGAGTGGAGGGGGTGATTATGAGGGTGCTTTGAGATATTGTTAGTACAAAGGCTGTATGGTCCATGTCGTGGCCGGAGTGTATTTACATGTCCCCACAACTTTCACCCTCAGCGCTAGTACAAAGCGAAAATAATGTTGAGGCCTACATAGACTGTTACGAGGTTGCCTAGAAGAAGTCTGGGAATTGCGGTGCTGTCGAAGTACAATGCACCACCAGCGTGGACTTCGAAATTATCCGGGGAGGGCGTCGCGATATGACTATTCTTCACATGGAACAGCCATTGACATTTAGTGAAAAGGGTATCGGAAAACTGATGGGACCTAGGGCGTTGACCCTGGTTTTTTTAACTTGTCCCATTCTTGTCAAATTTATGCGACATATCACATCAGCTGCTTGATGAAGCGCGCGCCAAAATCATGCGACCAGTTTGTCGGCCGAATTATTCAGGCCTTTTTGACAAACAGGGATGCTCGGCTTTGTGATCTTCCGATTGCTCAAGTCTTGTTACCTGGCTGCCTGATGTGGAGAGAAGAAGTTCAAGGCGTAGATGCAACAGTTCATTGATCAATCTCTTAGGGTGCCCGATGCGCGACCCCTAAAAAGCCCCGGACTTGGACCTTCCTGCCTGACAATCTCACTGGCCGATTGTTCTGAAGTCGTTCATGCAACGTACTCCGTGCAGCAGGCATGCAATATTGGGCGGCTGTCACCCCTTTGCTTCGTAGCATGCATTTATGTTCTGCAAACACGCATATTTCGTGGCCTTTTTGGTTGACAAAGGTGAATACACCGCAGTCCAGCACTTCAAGCCTCTCTCTCTAAACGTAGAGGGACAGCGCCCCTCACCCTTGCGCAAAGCGTTGTACGCAATTGGTCATGAGCCATTGGCCAGGGATTCAAACCCGTCTCGTTCGGTGAGATTGTGTCCGTAACGGGTATGCTCTTATCGGCCCCCGAGCTGGAGCATGCACGAAGGCGTTAACTTGAACTAAAATTGGGAGCAGGTTTAAACACGAAGTTAGTCTGGGGAAAAGCGAAGATGGTAGAGACGCGTGAATATGGATGACCCGCTACAAACAGTTCATCGCAGAAAACTCAGTGGTGGCGGAAACGATGACGGTGACAGTGGCGGCGACGATGATGGTGGTGGGAGAAAGCGATGACGGTGAAAACAGCCGAACTAATGGTGTAAGGCCATGAACCCAGTACAGAAGGATCAGTGCGACAGCTCAGTGTAGACAGCCAAGTGCAGACGGCTTGGTGGAGGCGGCTCAGTGCAGACGGCGCAGTACAGCCGGCCCAGTGTAGTGCAGTGGCTGACTGAACGAGGTAGACACCATGAGAGGCTTAGTTGAGGCACATGGTCCAAT